AATATTTGTAATAAACCTTTTAAATGATGCCCTCAATAACATTTTTTCCTGGATTGTAAGGAACTCCCATTTTGCGCTACACTAATTTAATATACGGACTAAGACATTATCACACGTGGAACGTAAGGTACAAAAAAGCCATACGTCTTCGGGTAGACTAATTTATTAGAGGTGTGGAGACGTCCCTTTTGTTTATTATTAATTTAATTATTATTGTGAGTAATTTAATTTACACGCAGGGAGTCGGTGAGACACCTGGGCTGGCAGATGTCCTCTTTCGATTTTCTCAGTAACTTGTCAAAGACACGCACGGGTAGCTCAGTTGATCGAGTGGTGGGAAAAATTGGACGTAGACCAAGGTTCGAATCCCGCAGCGGTCAAAAGGGGGTTTTCAGAACCTGAAATAAGGCTGACCCTCTGATGCGCACGGGTAAAGGCCTACTGGCGCTTTGCCGACTGAGTCACCGTGATTTACTCCCCCACCATCCTGTCGGGTCGGGGTGGGGGGCCCTTGGGGGTGGGGATTCAACTTTTTGGGCGTTTAATTATTCTTGCGTCACCCATCTATCTCACTTTTATAAAAAGTTATATCCTGAAATTTCATTAAAATATACTCCTCCCGTGCCAATTTGATTTGAAAAATTTTCTTTTCTTGTTGTTCTAAAATGGTTTTTCACTTTCTATTTTAGGTATGTAAATAAGAATAAAGTGACAAATTTACCCTTACTTCTTTTTTTTCCCATTAATTTAAAGACATCTACTTTTAGAAAGATGAGCAAAAATGTAAAAAGCAAGCATCATTTATTTTCATTTCTTAATCCTCGTGCCGGTCAAAGTTTACAATTCAATTCGGGACGGAGGGAGTAGAGTATTTCCTCTGTCCCTTTTTTGTTGTATCGTTAGCTTTTCACGTTTATGAAAGAACAAATTTAATCATTAATATCTTTCATTTTTTATGAATAAAAAACTAAAAATAGTTAAGTTTTGTAAAATTTAAAATGAGAGTAATTTGTATGTGAATAGTGCAAAATTGATCAATATTGCAACTAAAAAAGAACAGTAGTAATTTGTTAATAAAAATGTGATTAAGGATTTAAGGTGATCATATATACACATAAGTAGTCATTATGCTATAAATTAAACATAATTATAATTTCTAAAAGTTACTTTAACACGTTTTTGTGCATATATTAAGAGCTATTTCGTTTTAATGATGCAAGTAATTAATAACTAGCCAAAAGCGTCAGTATCGATTTTAACTAGCTTTTATAAAGACTTCAGTTTTGTTTGATCCGAGGACGCTTCACAGTGCGATATAATTAATTAAACAAGGTCAATGATAGTCCGTACATATATGATAAAGTATGTGATTAAGAAAAGCAAATAATACAAATGATTGGAGTAATTAGAGAAATTAATCATATCAGAGCAATAGCCGTTTTAGAATCTCGTAGTGGTTACTGGTTAGTTTGAAATTGTCAAGAGGCCCGAAAAAATTTGAGAAATATCGGAAAGGACAAAACAAATGAAACAATCGTATATATATCGGAAATGTCAAATTATACTGTGGGATCATCCCACCTTACGTATGGTGTGCCGATCCTTAACGGTGCTGTTTTAATTAATAAAAATCAGTTTATCCTCTTCCGTTTTGGAAGGTCACGCTCAATTCTTGAACTCCTACCCAACATATCTCAGGCTCATCATCGATGACTGCTAGGCATCTGACAACTTCCTTGTGAATCATTGAGATCAGAAAGAGAATGAATCAATCTAATTCTTCCATTGATGATGGTCTAATATATATACAAGTGCTAACAGCTATAGATCCTAAAAATAAGGATCTAGATAACTATGAAGCTTAACTACTACGCGAAAGTAGTAAAGAATAAATAACAAACTCCTACAGTCTAGGAACTATACACGGAGACTTCAACACTCCCCCTCAAGCTAAACTATATACATTAATCAGATTTAGCTTGGAGTATAAGTCTTTGAACAAGGGAGAAGGGAGAGCTTTAGTCAAAATGTCAGCTATTTGCAGTCGAGAAGAAACATGATGTAGCCTGATATCCTCATTATCAATCTTCTCACTGATGAAACGCTTGTCTATCTCGATATGCTTTGTGCGATCATGATGCACATGATTTTTCACAATGCTAATAGCAGCTTCATTATCACAATAAAGATGAATCTGTTTTTCACAGGGAATCTTTAAACTGTTAAGTACTCTTTTGATGAGTCAAATGCCTTCACAAATTCCATGAGCAAGTGATCGATATTCAGCTTCAGCACTACTACGGGAGACGACTGTCTGCTTTTTGCTCCTCCATGTCACTAGATTTCCATAGATGAAGGTACAATACCCTGATGTAGATCACCTGTCTGTTTGAGAACCTCCATAATCAGCATCAGTAAACACTTCAATACGCTGACTTGATGTCTTTTTGAAGAATAGGCCTGTTCCCGATGCTCCTTTGAGGTACCTTAGGATTCTGAAAACTGCTTCCATGTGTGACTCCTTTGGATTGCTCATGAACCGACTAACCAAGCTAACCGTAAAACCAATGTCTGGTCTGGTATTAGCCAAGTAGATCAGTTTCCCTACTAGTCGTTGATATCTTCCTTTGTTCACTGTGTCTTCTGAGTCAGCTGAATCTAACTTAAGCTTTGGCTCCATAGGAGTTTCTGATGGTCTGCAACCTAGCATTCCAGTTTCCTTAAGCAAGTCGAGAGTGTACTTTCTTTGTGATACAGAGATACCCTTATGAGATCTGAGTACCTCCATTCATAGAAAGTATTTCATCTTACCCAAATCTTTGACTTCAAACTCAGTGGCCAACATCTGTTTCAATCTCACAATATCTTCTTCATGATCACTTGTAATTACAATGTCATCAACATACACACTCAGTATTGAAATTCTTCCATTAGCTCCATGTTTTGAGAAAAGTGTGTGATCAGCTTCACTTTGAGAGTAACCAACTTGTTTTAGAACTAGGGAAAACCTACTAAACCATGCTCGAGGACTTTGCTTGAGAGCATATAAACTTTTCTTGAATTTGTAGACTTTCCCTTGAGTGTATTGTTTTTCAAAACCAGGTGGAATGTGTAACACCGCCCCCGAGTATTTGTATTGTACCAAAGTATGTATTAAATCTTGAGAAATGTATAAAAGCATTTTTACGTGATTGTAAATTTTTATCATTTCTATTACGTGAATAGTAAAATTCACGTGGGACCCACACCGGATGTGGGGCCGCCCGGTATTATCGGGACCACATATTATATTAATCTTGGACTAGATAATATGAATATGGTGGTGGATATCCTAATTGGGCCATGGCAATGGCATATAGTTGACCGGTTGGTCAAACGGGGCCAAATCATCGGTATCGGCAAATTTATCAGATGACAGCCCAAAAAGGGATTTCGGAGACTTCTAAATTAAAGTTGGGGAATGCATATTGATTCTAAGGTCCAATAAGGACTGGTAACAAGTGTTATATTTTATTTGACCCGATAAAATAAAATATACTTAAAACAGTCCGGAAAATACAACTTTCGGGGCCGATTGTACACTCCAGGACACAAAGCATGGGCGGATCTATGTAGGGCCTAGGGTGGGCTATAGCCCAGCCCAACCCAATTTTTTTTGTTAGTATAGAAAGAGATTTAATTTTCAGTCCACCCAAAAATTAAAACTCAGCCCACCCCAAGTCTACAAGGAAGTGTTCTAAGAAGCTCTAAAAGCAAAAGGCTGCTCAAACTTTGTTTAAATCTCATAGTCATGGGAACAAATGATCCCGAGAACAAATGATCCCGATGCGTAATAATAGAGCTTGGTGTGATTGCACCAAGAAGTGATTTATATATAGGACACTCAGGAGGGCGAACCATCCTTGCATTCGGTTGAGATAAATTGAGGAGCAAAACTTTACATACGGAGTATTAAACAATTGTATGTAGTTGGTGTTTGGAGTCAGCCGCAAATTATGCAATCTCATCTCACCCACTCACCCACACCATCAATGAAAGCACTTTATATTACAAGTTTACAATATTATTTTATAACATAATTTTTTTTGATTAATATTATATTATTATTATACTACTGTTATTATTATATGAATATTACTATTATTTGACCCAAGTCACCATGAGTAACTTTTATAAGCATTAAAATTTAAACATAATTATAATCATTAAAATAACTAAGTTACTCTTTATCAACTATCCTTATTTGGTCATATACTATTTCTATTATTATTATTATTATTATTATTATTAAAATTATTATTATTATTATTAATAAAATTATAATAGTTTTATTAGTGCATTAGTTTTATTTAATAGTTATGTAATTCTATTTGATTATTAATTTAATTTATGCTCAAACTCGGCTTGAATAAAATAGATATATGAACTCTATTTTTTTAGTGTTCAAATATATTTAAAAAATTGCAATGAAAATGTTTAATTTTTAAGATAAATAAAATTTATTTCTATAATTTACGAGTTATTGATAGACTTGAGTCCGGATCAAACCGAATATCACTATGCTCGAACTCAGCTTGAACAACTATTTGAACTCAAAATCTAGCTCGTGTTCGAGTTAAAAAAAACTTCTTAAGCTCAGATCACTAAATTAAATTCGAAATCACGCTCGAATTCGCGTAGTTCGAAAAAAACTCAATTCGATGACGGCCCTAAGCAGCCTAAGCTAAACTTTTTGTTTGCAATAACAATTTTTTTCCTGCTAAGCCCACGTCACTCTTCATTCCTGGATCCGCCCCTGACACAAAGGGTTGACCTCCCACATAAGTGGGGGCCAAGCCACGTTTTTTTGGGCTGCAAATGAATAAGGGGAGCCGCACAAGGAAGATAGAGGAGGGAACCTGAAGTGATTGGGGAGCAAACAATAAAATGAATGGGACCTATCCCATGCCATTATTGAGAGAAATGCCAAAAAGGCATTCCAATCATCCCATCTCATAACACTTCGTCCAAGCCAGAACCACTGAGGATAGAAGGTCAGGAAAAACTCCATTTTCATCCATCATACACGCACCAAGTTAAGGGAGGAAGAAGAAAGGAAAAAGAGAAGAGAAAAGAGGAGTTTAGGTGGGAAAACTTGTGTTTAACAAGGTAATGACTCCATTAATCCCATTTCTTGTTCTTCAATACTCTTATATGATTATTCAATCATATTTCACACCCTAGTATTGTTCTACACGTTGGGATGTGTAGAAAGAGGGGTTGGAAGGTGGTTCTAAGTCCAAGAACGGACTTAGAAGCCAAAGTAACCGGTTCGCCGGAAAATAACCTTTTGGAGGTTATTTGTATTACTATGGGTTTTATGATGATAAAACCTTGTTAGTAACTTGTCTAAGGTATTCAAGGAACTTTCACGGAGTTGAAAAGGTCGCCGGAGTTGCCGCCGGAGTTCGTTGAAGTTCGCCGGAGTTTCGCTGGAGCTAAATCGGGAAGGCTAGAACTTCGTAAGCTTCATTAAGGTGAGGCAGGGGTCGTGGGCGTTCTACAACGCCGACGGCAGGCAGCACGTGTGTCGGTTCTATGCACCCATCTTGGGTCACCGAACCGGACGATTCCACATATGCTCCAAGCACGGAGCAAGAGAAGACCCTGTACAACGGGGAGGACTTTGAGGAAAAAGATGAGGATGATGATCCTCATTACGACCGCATGAGTGAGGTACTGGAGTGGTACCTCGAGAATAAGGCAAAGAGGGAGCAGCGGCGCCAAGCTAGACCGACTAGGCAAGCCATGGGGCAGGGAAGCCGAGGTGCTTCTAGTGCTCCATCGGGGGCATTTGGGGAAGAAACGATGGTGCGTATCTCCAAGTACCTCAAGGAGGCCAGGGCCTTGGGGTGCAAATCATTCGATGGCAAGGGCGACATATCTGAGGCCGCCGACTGGATTAAGAAGCTGAATGATGCTTCTAGGGACATGCAAATTGCACTCGACGTGAAGTTGAGGGTTGCCACCAGGCTACTAGAAGGGGTAGCTGCTGTATGGTGGGAAGGCGTGGAGGGAAAGTTCCACGGCGAGGCCACTTGGGAGAAATTCGAAGTGGAGTTCTATAATCAGTACTACTCAACTTTTGAAGTCAATCTCAAAAGAAGAGAGTACACAAACCTGAAACAGGAGGATGCTTGCTCGGTGAGGCAATTGGAACAAAGGTTCCGTGACTTGGCACGATTCATCCCAGAATACTCTTTGGATGAAAATCGTATGGCCAATCACTTTTGGGATGCTCTACAGTTGGACATCCGTGACCGGGCTACTTACCATCACAGCATGACATTTAGTCAAATCGTTGATCAGGGGCTCCTTGGGGAAGCCCAATGGAACGAGAGGAAGTTGAGGGACGCCGAGGAGGCGAAGAAAAGAAGATGGGGAAACGCTGGACCCCAAGACCACTCTCGGAAGCATCACGCTGAGGGTGGCAATACATTCAGGGCGCCGACACCACCAACGAAAAGGTATAAGGGCCCAGGCGGGCAAGGGCCCAAACCGGGGGGTGTGGGACCACCCAGGTGCGCAAACTGCGGTAAGAACCACGAGGGAAGGTGCAATGAACCACCCCGGTGCTTCAAATGCGGTAGCACGAGCCACCTCAAACCCTCTTGTCCAATGCTGAACGGGGGAGGACCATCGGGAGCCATGGGAGGACCTACGACTAGTAGGGGATGTGCGGGACCGTCTCAGGCCGGCACGGGAAGGGGCGGACCCACGGCTAGCAACGCCGCGTCCGTTAACCAAGGGAGGACCCAAGCACGGGTGTATGCAATGACCGAGGCTGATGCTCGGGCCAACCCGGACTCCATTGCAGGTAACCTCTTAATTTCACACGTATTTGATTATGTAATTGGGTGAAAAAATCTTCAAAAAATGTGAAGGACCCGATCGGGTATTCCTATAGACCCGACCGGGTATATGCCATGCTTCGATTTTGAGGTGGGTAATTGTTCGGGCAAGCAAGACAGGACGTTTCATTTTTGGCACTTCGAGCAATACCCGATCGGGTATGGCTATATACTCGATCGGGTATGTGTAGGAATTTGAGCTTCGAAGTATGTACTCAATCGAGCAAGGGTGGCAGGACCGTTCACTTTGGGCAATTCAAGCCATACCCGATCGGGTATGATTGTATACTCGATCGAGTATGAGTAAAAATTTCGTTTCCAAGGTGTGTACTCGATCGAGCGTGGAGGACAGGGGGCTTTCACTTGAGGATTTTGAGCGATACCCGACCGGGTATAGGTATATACCCGACCGGGTATTGACAATGTACTCTAGTTGAGGCAAGTACTCGACCGAGCAAGGGTAACAGGAGGTCCCTCCCAAAATGGTTCGAGTAATACCCGACCGGGTATGGGGTCTTACCCGACCGGGTATAGGGTAATTATGGGCTGAATATTTTTTTCGTCCGGTCCTTTTCAGTCGGGATGTCGAATAGGGTGTCTTACATGAATTATATATGTAGGAACACTAAAGATCAAAGACAGGGATGCGAGAATTCTCATCGATACCGGGGCACAACGTTCATTTGTGAGCGAAGTGTTTGCCAAGGGATTGAACATGCCTTTGGTAGCAATGATGCAACCTTTGCTGGTCTCTACGCCATTGGGAGATGATGTAGAGCGGAAACACTACTATCCCTCGTGTAATGTAGGGATAGGTGAGCACTGTCTAACGGGTGACTTTGTGCCGTTAGATATGCTCGAGTTCGATGTCATACTTGGCATGAATTGGCTCGAGAAGCACCATGCGAAGGTAGATTGCTACACCAAGGTGTTAGAACTAAAAGATGGAGAAGGAAACACTCTATGCTTCGAGGGAGATAGAGGGAAATTCAACCCTTGTATCATATCGGCCATAAGAGCGAGGCGTATGATGAGGAAAGGGTGTCAAGCATACTTGGCCTATGTCATAGGCAAGGAAGGCAAGGAAAAGAGTCTCATTGAGGTGAGAGTGGTGAGTGAGTACCCAGAAGTTTTCCCTGAAGAACTCCCGGGACTCCCACCAGACCGAGAAATTGAGTTCACCATTGAAGTAGAACCCGGTACGAAACCCATCTCGATTCCTCCATATCGGATGGCACCGGCTGAACTTCAAGAGTTGAAGGTGCAATTGGAAGAATTACTGGACAGCGGATTCATTAGGCCGAGTCATTCACCATGGGGAGCACCGGTACTATTTGTAAAGAAGAAGGATGGTACACTCAGAATGTGTATCGACTACCGTCAGTTGAACAAGGTCACGATAAAGAACAAATATCCTTTGCCAAGGATCGATGACTTGTTTGATCAACTACGGGGGGAAACGGTGTTCTCTAAGATCGACTTGAGGTCAGGCTACCACCAACTGAAGATCAAGGAGAGTGACATACCTAAAAGTGCATACCTAAAACGCCCCCGCGGCATTCATGGACCTCATGAACCGAGTATTTCACCAATACTTGGACCAGTTCGTCATAGTGTTCATTGATGACATCTTGATATACTCCATGAATGAAGAGGAGCACGAAAAACACCTAAGGCTTGTGCTTGAAACACTGCGGGAGAAGCAACTCTTTGCCAAATTCTCTAAATGAGAATTCTGGCTTGGGGAGATCGGTTTTCTCGGGCATGTGGTATCGGGCTCGAGCATTTCAGTTGATAACTCAAAGATTGAGGCGGTCACTAATTGGGAGAGGCCCAAGAACGTGAAGGAGATAAGGAGCTTCCTCGGTTTAGCGGGGTATTACCGCAAATTCGTGGAAAAGTTCTCGGTGATAGCATCTCCACTCACGAAGCTCACTAAAAAGGGGGCTAAGTTTGTGTGGGATGACAAGTGTGAGAAGGGGTTTCTTGAGCTAAAGAAACGTTTGACCAAAGCACCAGTGTTTGTCTTGCCCGTGCAAGGGTTAGGGTATGACATCTACAACGATGCTAGCATTCAGGGACTAGGATGTGTGCTGATGCAATCAGGGAAGGTAATTGCTTATGCTTCTCGGCAGTTGAGGAAGCATGAAGTAAAATACCCCACACATGATCTGGAGCTAGGTGCTGTGGTATTTGCATTGAAGATTTGGAGGCACTACCTCTACGGGGAGTGGTGTCACATTTACACCGACCACAAGAGCCTGAAGTATGTGTTTACTCAGAAAGAGTTGAACATGAGACAGAGAAGATGGATGGAGTTGATCAAGGATTACAACTTGGTCATTGACTATCATCCAGGCAAGGCTAATGTAGTAGCCGATGCATTGAGCAGGAAGAGCTCATCATCGGGAATTTTCCTCACATGCTTACGGGCACTAAGGGCACGCGTGGAGGTATCCACGGATGGGGCGCTATTGGCCAGATTTGAGGTGAGACCCACCTTGTTAGATGAAATCAGAACATGTCAAGGCAATGACGAGGAATGTCAGAAAATCCGGGAACGGATGCTTGTGGGGCCCGTCGAGGGTTTCCGTGAGAGAGAAGATGGACTTCTACTGTTCAAGGAACGAGTGTGTGTGCCATCGGATGAGGAGCTCCGAAAGTCTATCCTTGAGGAGGCTCACTCATCTGCGTATGCCATGCACCCGGGCGGTACAAAGATGTACCGGGACTTGAAGGAAAGTTACTGGTGGTCGGGGATGAAGAGAGAGATTGCAGAATACGTGAGCCGTTGCCTTACTTGTCAACAGGTTAAGGCAGAGCACCAACACCCAGCAGGGTTACTACAACCACTTACCATTCCAGAATGGAAGTGGGAACATGTTACCATGGACTTCGAGGTGGGTCTACCACGGACGGTTAGGAACTACGACGCAGTATGGGTGGTAGTCGATAGGCTGACCAAGAGCGCTCATTTCCTACCTATCAACACTACCTATACGCTCGAGCGGTTGGCCAAATTGTACACAGATGAGATTGTGAGACTGCATGGGGTTCCGGTTACTATAGTATCGGATAGAGACCCACGGTTCACATCACAGTTTTGGCCTAAGTTCCAGGAATCTATGGGTACGAAATTGAGGTTTAGCACCGGGTTTCATCCTCAAACGGATGGGCAATCTGAACGGGTGATTCAGATCTTGGAGGACATGTTAAGGGCATGTGCCTTGGAGTTCCAGGGGAGCTGGGACAATCAGTTGGCTTTAGTGGAATTCTCCTATAACAACAGTTATCAGGCAAGTATAGGCATGCCTCCATACGAAGCATTGTATGGGAGGAAATGCCGGACACCATTGTGTTGAGACGAGGTCGGCGAGGCTAAGCTCGAGGGCACCGAGTTAGTCGAGATCAATAAGGAGAAGATAAAAGTCATACAGGATAGGCTCAAGGCTGCCCAAGACCGGCAGAAGAGCTATGCTGATAAACGTCGGAGGACGTTGGAGTTTGAGGTTGGTGACGAGGTATTTCTGAGGGTATCACCTTGGAAAGGGATCATCAGGTTCCTCAGTCGGGGTAAGCTTAACCCACATTACATAGGTCCGTTCAAAATCCTTGAAAGGATTGGGGTTGTAGCTTACCGACTTCAGTTGACTCCAGAGTTAGAAAAGATTCATAATGTGTTTCATGTTTCTATGCTCAAGAAGTATGTACGGGACCCATCACATATTCTTGAGAAACCACCGGTAGAAATCCGAGAAGACCTACATTATACGGTGCAGCCGGTAAAGATCATAGACCGACAGGTCAAGAAGCTAAGGAGCAAAGAAGTGCCGGTGGTGAAAGTACTTTGGAAGAGTGATCGTGTCGAGAAGCAAACTTGGGAAGTGGAGACCCTGATGAGGGAACAATATCCATTTCTGTTTGACTAGACGCGTGGATTTCGGGGACGAAATCCCAAATAAGGGGGGTAGAACTTGTAACACCGCCCCCGAGTATTTGTATTGTACCAAAGTATGTATTAAACCTTGAGAAATGTATAAAAGCATTTTTACGTGATTGTAAATTTTTATCATTTCTATTACGTGAATAGTAAAATTCACGTGGGGCCCACACCGGATGTGGGGCCGCCCGGTATTATCGGGACCACATATTATATTAATCTTGGACTAGATAATATGAATATGGTGGTGGATATCCTAATTGGGCCATGGCAATGGCATATAGTTGACCGGTTGGTCAAACGGGGCCAAATCATCGGTATCGGCAAATTTATCAGATGACAGCCCAAAAAGGGATTTCGGAGACTTCTAAATTAAAGTTGGGGAATGCATATTGATTCTAAGGTCTAATAAGGACTGGTAACAAGTGTTATATTTTATTTGACCCGATAAAATAAAATATACTTAAAACAGTCCGGAAAATACAACTTTCGGGACCGATTGTACACTCCAGGACACAAAGGGTTGACCTCCCACATAAGTGGGGGCCAACCCACATTTTTTTGGGCTGCAAATGAATAAGGGGAGCCGCACAAGGAAGATAGAGGAGGGAACCCGAAGTGATTGGGGAGCAAACAATAAAATGAATGGGACCTATCCCATGCCATTATTGAGAGAAATGCCAAAAAGGCATTCCAATCATCCCATCTCATAACACTTCGTCCAAGCCAGAACCACTGAGGATAGAAGGTCAGGAAAAACTTCATTTTCATCCATCATACACGCACCAAGTTAAGGGAGGAAGAAGAAAGGAAAAAGAGAAGAGAAAAGAGGAGTTTAGGTGGGAAAACTTGTGTTTAACAAGGTAATGACTCCATTAATCCCATTTCTTGTTCTTCAATACTCTTATATGATTATTCAATCATATTTCACATCCTAGTATTGTTCTACACGTTGGGATGTGTAGAAATAGGGGTTGGAAGGTGGTTCTAAGTCCAAGAACGGACTTAGAAGCCAAAGTAACCGGTTCGCCGGAAAATAACCTTTTGGAGGTTATTTATATTACTATGGGCTTTATGATGATAAAACCTTGTTATTAACTTGTCTAAGGTATTCAAGGAACTTTCACGGAGTTGAAAAGGTCGCCGGAGTTGCCGCCGGAGTTCGTTGAAGTTCACCGGAGTTTCGCCGGAGCTAAATCGGGAAGGCTAGAAATTCGTAAGCTTCATTAAGGTGAGAAGACGGCTTTATGCTTTATAACTTTTGCGTGAGGCATGAGATAACCTAAAGTAATCAAGGATATGTTTTATGAAATGAGTAAAGATAACCAAATGTTTGCTTATGCCATGATTATACAAAAAACATAGTTGAAAAGCATGTTATGTAGGTTTGGTGGTTAAAAGTGTGATAACTTATTTTGTGTGATGTTCCAGGGATCCAAAATGGTATTTTTGGATCAAGGACGTCAAGAAGTATATGTGTATAAAATTTCACGTTAATCGGACTCCGTTTGGGTGGTCAAACGGGCGTTGACCGACAAGTCAACTGTCGTACCCGACCGGGTATTGACACATACCCGACCGGGTATTTGTTGAAAATTGGCTTTGTGGACTACTGTCTCCTGTACTCGACCGAGTATGGGTTGATACTCGATCGAGTATTGGGTTATGCTCAAAACGGGCAGTTTTGAGCGGGTTAATGTGGGCCGTTCGGGTTGGACCCGCCCACGTTGGTTCCTAAGGTTGGTTATATGACTATAGGGCTAGGTATTGTCCATAGTTGAAGGAACGAAAGGTTAGCCATATCCAGGTTAGGGTTTGGTAAGGATTTAGTTTGGGGTTGAGTATCCCCGGGACATTAAATGATCCTGAAACTCGGTTGGGGTTGAGCATCCCTGGGACTATAAATGATCCTGAAACTCGGTTGGGGTTGAGCATCCCCGGGACATTAAATGATCCCGAAACTCGGTTGGGGTTGAGCATCCCCGAGACTATAAATGATCCTGAAACTCGGTTGTGGTTGAGTATCCCCGGGACTGCAAATGATCCTGAAACTCAGGTGGGGTTGAGTATCCCCGGGACATTAAATGATCATGAAACTCGGTTGGGGTTGAGCATCCCCGGGATGTTAAACGCTCCCAAAACTCGGTAGGATATTATGAATGTAGAATGTAGCTGGTGAGCTAGGTAACCGGGAAAGGAGTGAGAAAAGTCAGGTAAGAACTTTATCTCTAAAAGACTCTTTAAGGTAAATGACCTACGGTTTGAGTATTTTACGAGTATATATACAGTATGTATCATCGGATGGATGAGAGACATCTATATATATGTATCACCCTATTTTTGGGTCTCGTGTCTGAAACATTAGTTATTCTTCATATAGCCTGCTTGTCACTAGTACTTCTATGGAGTACTGACCCCTCCGGGGGCCCTCACATTTTTCAGGTTGAGGCTAGAGTCCTACTACCTGCACCTTTGCCTAGGGTGATCCTTCGAGGAGGAAGACGTGGTTCGTGCTTCCATTCGTATTTTTGAAATCTATAAACTGCTCATGGATTTTTGAACAATGTCTTCATTAAAACAGTTGGGGGCCTGCGTGCCCGTGTTTGCCACGTGTGGCTAAGTACCAAACATATTATTTCCGCATTTGTTTGATTATGATATTGATGTTGATTGTATGTGTTTACTAATCGGTTCGGCAATAGAATCAATCGGACGCCTTGTACAATTCAATAGGGATGAACTGTTGTTGTTCTTATCGGGTTGTACGGCGGTTGTCTACGTGGCTCGAATGCGGTCCGGGGCATGACAGAATGTCCATGTATACTTCTTCTATCAGTTCACCATTAAGAAATGCATTCTTAATGTCTAACTGATGTAACGGCCAGTCATGATTAGCTGCAAGAGATAGTAATACTCTGATAGTATTGTGCTTAGCCACAGGAGCAAATGTTTCTTGGTAATCAATACCATAAGTTTGAGTAAAGCCTCTCGCAACTAATCTTGCCTTAAACCTCTCGACTGATCCATCAACATTATGTTTCACAGTGAACAACCATCGACATCCTACAGTTCTTTTTCCAGGAGGCAATTCTGTCATATCCCAAGTATTATTCTTCTCTAAGGCCCTGATTTCCTCATAAGTAGCTTTCTTCCATTCTGGACTTGATAAAGCTTCTTGAATTGATGAGGGTACCTGAACTTTGTCAATCTGTGTAATGTAGGCTCTACAACTAGATGACAGTTTTCCATAGTAGATGAAATCTTCCATCCGGTATGGTGTGTGAGTTCTAGCAGGCTTTCTTAATGCAATAGGCAGATCAACATCAGGCATTTCATTATCATTATGAGAAGAATCTGAGTCAGTAATACCTTGATCATGGTTGTCCTGAGACATTGGACTTGGAGCTGATGATTGACATATTTGAGGCAAGGCCGATGGTGGACTGGATGAGTCAGTGGCAGCGGGTATATGAGATGGTTGCTCAGATTGAAATAGTGGAATGAGGCAAGTTATGATTGTGTTATGACCTTGATCCTGAGATTCTATTGGACAATTCTCCCCCTGAATCGAAGTGTAAAAAGGTTTATTCTCAAGAAATGTTGCATCCATTGTATGGAAGAACTTTCTTAAAGATGGTGAATAACATTTGTATCCCTTTTTAGATGGTGAATAACCTATAAAGATGCACTTTAAGGATCAAGGATCTAACTTATTTTGATCATAAAGATGAACAAAGGCTGAACAATTAAATAACTTCGAAGTTGGAAAACTCTCTAGCAATTTCTGACATGGAGTTGAGAATTTTAGGACTCTTGAAGGCATCCTATTTATAAGATAAGCAGCCGTAAGGACTGCTTCTCCCCAGTATTGTTTAGGCACATTTGTAGTAAACATGAGTGATCTAGCCACGTCTAACAAATGTCTATTTTTTCTTTCTGCAATTCCATTTTGCTGGGGTGTTTTAACACATGAAATAGTATGTAAAATGCCTTGGGATAGGAAATACTCATGTAGAGTGGAATTGAAGAATTCTGTGCCATTATTAGAATGAAATGTCTGAATTTTTGTATTGAATTGTGTGAGAATCATTTTGTGAAACTGTTTGATGAGAAATGGAGTTTCTGACTTATTTTTCATCAAGAAAGTCCATGTGAGTCTAGTATGATCATCAATAAGCAGTAAGAACCATTTTGCTCCAGAGATATTGGAAGTTTTAGAAGCCCCCATATATCACAATGAATCATTGTAAATGGTTGAGAAGGTTTGTAAGAACTGGGCATATATGAATTTCTAGTGTGCTTAGAGAGATGACAAATATCACATTGCAAATGCTTCACATCTTTATTAATGATTAATGAAGTAAAGATTTTTGAGAGATACAAGAAATTTGGATGACCAAGTTGATAATGTAGCAACATGATATCATCATTTGTTGATCTTTTATTAGATTTTGACATTAAAACAGAACTAGGACATGGAGACTGTTTGAGTAGGTATAATCCGGCCTTGACTTCAGCACTGCCAATCATCTTCCCCGAGACCTTGTCCTGAAAAACACATGAGTCATTGGTAAAATGAGTGACACAATTCAGATCTTTGTTCAACTTATGGACAGACAGTAAATTGCAGTTCAACTTAGGTACATAAAATACTGAGTTGAGTTGCAAAGATGGTGAGAGTTTTACTATTCCGGTGCCTTTCACATAAGAGACTGAACCATCTGCTATAATTACGGATATTGAGCTTTTATTCTCATGTATGAGCTAAATAATTCACGGTTACCAGTCATGTGATCTGTAGCTCCAGAACCGACAATCCATGATGAAGAATTGTCAGATTTGGAGTGAAATACTAGTGAAATATTACCTCTATTTACCATTGATGCATTTCCAGTAGAAGTTGACCCTTGAGGATTCAGTTGAGATTGATTGAACAAGGTCTGGAGGAGATCTAGCTGATCTTTAGTGAAGAGTGGTGATGAGGCCAGATTTCCCTTGTGTTCTTGATCTGATGTTGACTTTCGACACTTCCAGTCTCGAGGCTTCCCATGGATCTGTCAACATGTTTCCTTGGTATGCCCTGGTTTTTGACAGTGATCGATCACAATAGGGCCTCTTGTTATTTTTCTTGTTGATGCTTAATTTGGTAGCTTGACTGTAACCCTCGCTTGACACAGAGAGGGTTGAGACATCAGAATTGACTGCAGTTGATGAGGCATCTCCCGTCATGATCTTTCTTCTACTTTCCTCATGTCGGGTTGCTGAGAAGGCTTCCCGGATTGAAGGAAGAGGTTTGGTGCTGAGAACTCTTCCTCATGCATCATCCAAATCTTTGTTAAGACCTGATAAAAATTTGAACACTCTCTTTTTTTCTACAATAGATCTGAACAGCAATTTCGCAACGATGAGTATCAATTAGATCTATTTTCTGCCAATGTTTGTTAAGGGAAGTGAAGAATTGAGTAACGGACATATCACCTTGTTTGAGCTCATGAAGAACACTCTCAGTTTCAAACACTTGTGACGTATTTTCAGAACTGGAGAAGGTGATTTCTGCTGTTTCCCATATCTCTGCTGCTGTGGAATACAACAGAAAATTTTCACCAATATCTGGGGTCATGGAATTAATCAGCCATGACATCACCATATTGTTGTTTGCTTTCCAGGATTTGAAGGTGGGATCATCTTCCTTCGGGGCAGCAGTGATAGAGAGGAAATCGTCTTTACTCTTTCCACATATGAACATACGGACTGATTGTGACCATTGAAGATAATTTTGGCCATTTAATTTGTGATTAGTGATTTTGTTAGAAAAGTGATCAGAATTTATGGTGGATGATGGTGGTGGGGTTTCTGTGCAGGTAGAGAAAGTGAAACCCTGCATGTTATTACCATTACCATATTTAGTCATGGCTCTGATACCATGTGAATCATTGAGATCAGAAAGAGAATGAATCGATCTAATTCTTTCATTGATGATGGTCTAATATATATACAAGTGCTAACAGCTACAGATCCCAAAAATAAGGATCTAGATAACTATGAAGCTTAACTACTATGCGAAAATAGTAAAGAATAAATAACAAATTCCTACAGTCTAGGAATTATACACGGAGACTTCAACATTCCTTTTTTTGGGGTTGGATTCTTCTTATTGTTCGTAGTTTGTTTTGGTTGCTAGTTTCTTCATCTCAGTTCACCAAGCTTCGTGATTTTCTTGTACCTCTCAAT